CATCACACCCAGCTTTTCAGATGTGAGCAGCCCCAGGGAAAACACTGATACAATGCAGAGGAAGTGTGATAGCGTGCTGCTGCTGCTGCTGGTTAGGACCTCTATGGTTAGATTACCACTAATTTCATCTCAGAGTAGCATTTAGACATTTTCTTTCTCTGCCTAAAGTGTAAGTCATTCCTCTTTTTAGCGTAAACATTGAAAATGGATGCTGTGCCTTTCCAGCTCTTCCCTCAAATTACCACTTGACATGGCCAAACATCGCTCTGTATTATTGTCTGCCAGGAAAATGCATGTCTGAAGGCTTTATTGAATGTTGTGCCTGGGTGGAATTTGTACGAAGTGTACCCAGCACTTTGATCATCTTGACCTGGAAATGTGATCGTCACCCCACTTCACAGAGCTCTCTGACACCTGGGAAACTAGATCTGGTATTCGTGATACACGATCTGCGTCGCAGTGTTAAAGACTTAACTTCTCCCGTTGCGTAGTCAGCACAGACTACTGATGATAACTGGAATTTTGCATGCCTCAAAGTCTGACTTTTTCTCCCCGCAAGCCACAAGATTGGTGTGTCGTTTGGAAGAAACGACCTACATGGTTTTTATGAGCAGGATTCCTGCAATATAATGTACACTATATAATATTTTAAGTGGATTTTTGTTCTTCAAAGCTGAGTTTTTTGACAGATGTTAAAAGACTACATAAAAACTCTTTATTTTCCTTTGCTTTACTTTATTATAGTTTATGTTGGACTGTTTTGCAGGGTTCCTGTAGTTTGGAGCGGAGTTAGATCATCTATCTGTCTGTGTGTCTATCATTTAATTCCTTTTTTCAGGAGGGGGTGGTCTGATGTATTTTCCATTCACTCTCTATCTGACTGATCTTTTCAGAGCCACTTGTTCTTATTTTTGAGCTAGAGAAGCTTTTAAGAGCCATAGTTTAAAATAACCCTTAATTATCTTATACTGATCCTCAGCTTAACTTTGTTAAAGCCAATCTCTCTTTAAGCCATCTTTCTTCTGATTGGCTGCCCCTCGTAAATAGGAGGTTTGAATAACAATAGGAGGAAGGGGCTACTGTGTTCCAAGCTAAATCGCATGCTTAAGACTAAGGATGCTACAGCTCTTTGAAGAGTGAGTTTGGTAGTCAAGAGTGGAAAATAAAGCCTCCACAGATTGAGCTTTTAATTCACAAGGATTGCTTTACATGCCCATGCATAAAACAAATATCACAAAAAGGGGTCATTTTAGCCTATTGCTAAATGGTTGCAAGGCATGCATATATCAGCTTTTGTGTGTATAAATGAGATGTTATTGCATTGAAATAAAAAATTATATGTTTTTAGAACGTTTTAGGTACAGAAATGCAAAAAAAGTGAGTCATTTTCGCCCATTGCTAGGTGGTGGCTAGGCAGAGCAGAACCTGCAAGGACCCTAGGATCTACCTGTGTGTGCATGTAACAGTAATATCAGAATCAGAATCAGAATGGGTTTATTGCCAGATGTTGAGGTTTACAACATTAGGAAATTGCTGCGGTGCTTCAGTGCAGACAATAAGAATTAAGGTGCTATGTAGAGAGAAAGATATGTGCATGAGATATACATGAGATATATACATGAGAATAAGAATTATGAGTGCTACATAGAAAGATATATACATGAGTGCAGGTGGTGATCAGTGCCAGACATGAAATGATGCAGTGACACAGCGTAGGGTCATGTGTTAGTGGCGGGGACAGTCATGTGGTTATTGTTCATGTGTCCAACAGCAGAGGGGAAGAAACTGTTCTTGTGGCGAGAGGTTCTGGTGCGAATGGACCGGAGCCTCCTGCCTGAGGGGAGCAGGTCAAACAGACTGTGTCCAGGGTGAGAAGGGTCAGCTGAGATCCGGGCTGCACGCCGCAGTGTCCTGGAGGTGTACAGGTCCTGCAGAGATGGGAGTCTGCAGCCAATCACCTTCTCAGCAGAGCGCACAACACGCTGCAGTCTCTGTTTGTCCCTGATAGTGGCTCCAGCGTACCACACGGTGATGGAGGAGGTGAGGATGGACTCGATGATTGCAGTGTAGAATTGCATCATCGTCCGTGTTGGCAGGTTGAATTTCTTCAGCTGCCTCAGGAAGTACATCCTCTGCTGGGCTTTCTTGATGACGGAGGTGATGGTGGGCTCCCACTTCAGGTCTTGGGTGATGGTGGTACCCAGGAAGCGGAATGAGTCCACAGAGGTGATGGGGGTGTCAGTCAGGATGATGGGGGGGAGTGGGGCTGTGTGCTTCCTGAAGTCCACAATAATCTCCACTGTCTTCTGGGCATTCAGCACCAGGTTGTTGTGGCTGCACCAAGACACCAGACGTTCAACCTCCCTCCTGTAGGCAGACTCATCCCCGTCAGAGATGAGCCCAATGACGGTGGTGTCATCTGCGAACTTGATTAGCTTGACAGACTGGTGGGTGGAGGTGCAGCAGTTGGTGTACAGGGAGAAGAGCAGAGGAGAAAGAACACAGCCCTGAGGGGAGCCGGTGCTGATGGTCCGGGAGTCCGAGACATTCTTTCCCAGCCTCACGTGCTGCTTCCTGTCCGTCAGGAAGTCAGTGATCCACCGGCAGATGGGATCAGGCACATTCATCTGGGAAAGCTTGCCTCGGAGATGGTCTGGAAGGATGGTGTTGAAGGCAGAGCTGAAGTCCACAAACAGGATCCTGGCGTAGGTTCCTGGGGAGTCCAGATGCTGCAGGATGAAGTGTAGGGCCATGTTGATGGCGTCGTCTACAGACCTGTTGGCTCTATATGCAAACTGCAGGGGGTCCAGGAGGGGGGCCGTGAGGGTCTTGAGATGGGAGAGAACTAGGCGCTCAAATGACTTCATGACCACAGATGTCAGAGCCACGGGTCTGTAGTCATTTAGTCCAGTGATCCTAGGTTTCTTGGGGACAGGGATTATGGTAGAGGACTTGAAGCAGGCAGGCACATGACATGCCTGCAGTGAGGAGTTGAAGATATATACTGTTACCCAAAGTAATAAATAATTTACATAAACATTACACTTTTTACCAGACTAGTATACTAATAGGTTCAAGGTTCAAGGTTCTTTATTATTTGTCACATGCATAGTTATACAAGTATAACACACAGTGAAATGTAGCCTGACACGCTCCTCCTAATAGCTTTTTCTCAGAAATAAAAATGGCTATGCAGACACCCAGTTAAACAAAGTTCATACCAGTAGTCACCCTTCACCCTTTAGTGAAGGCTTCTTTCTCCTCCTGGCTGTCATCATCTCGATGTGTCCCTGTCACCTATTCTTCCTCCTATGTGTTTGTTTACATTCACATACTGAGGTGCTGTTCATAGCCCATGAAACATCTCTTCTCTGAAACATCCTAACCAGATGTCTGTTAGGAAAACTGTATAGCATTAATAACATATTAATAAACATATCGTGCTAATTAGACAATTAACATAATGCATTGAGGTTAAAGTTTATCCAAAGCACCAAAATGGACTTGAAGGTTTAATAAGTATAAATTGTTTTTTTTAGTATTTCAAGCTTATAATCCACTCAAACATCACTTAATCTGCTGCATTTCTGAGCAGTTTAATGCAATAGCACTGGCAGTGGTACTGAGGTTAGAAGTAAATTACACAGAGCCAGTGTGTGATTAGAGAAGCTGGCTTTTAAAGTTCACCACCCCTCGGGATATTTGATCGAGCCACGGGCCTTTGATCAGCGTTAACATTACGGTAACCATGACAGTTTATTTTCAACTACCAAAAAAGACCATTTGTGTCAGAAAACAATCTCCCCTTCCTCTGACACATTGGCACACCGCAAAAGAAAAATGTCAGGGTCAGTGATGGGCCATTAGCCCAGAGTGAGTTCTTTTTGTGCCGGCGGACCCATTGAAAACACCTTTTTAGTTTTCGACAGATGGTACTGTGACCCAGCAACCACAGGATGACCTGAGCCTCAACCTGAAGACTTTTTTCCCCCGAGAAAAACACCCGCAGGACGTACAAGCTCATCAGAGGAACAAAAATGTCTGGCCAGAGAGCAGAATGACACATGAATGCATAATAAAAAAAATTCACCTCAGCACGGCTGCATTGTAATGCCTTGTACATTTGATTGACTACACAGTCTCCCTCTATTCACTGGTATTATACCCTGTTCTTTTTCATAGAGGTCGCTCCTCTATTGCTGCAAATGTCATAGTGCTTTAATGAGAACTGCACTGTAGTCTACAATGGAAGCTTTTCAGCAAGATTAAATGTATCAATGAGCTGAAACTTGCCCCCCCCCCTCCTTCTCCCCTTTGCCCCTATTGTGACACAGTGGTTTTACAGAGCAGCTTGTTGCTGAAAAACAAGGTTAAGAAGATCAGTATCAAAGGAGGAGTGTTTTTGTGTGGCTTGCAGGAGAGTCTCGCTTCAGGTTTCCACCTGAAACACAAAGGTGTTTTCTTACCTGATTTGTATTCATTCACACAATGAGTGGGCCTGCCTCTCTTCTTTCCAAGTAAGGAGAGTCCAGACAAGACTTTTGTTCGCCCTATCATCGGATATGTGCATGTTGCTTCCTCCAGTACAAGCCTTGGAGCTCAGCCACAGGCTTTGTCCTGGATGGATTTTTTCCTGTCCTTTTTCCTCTTCTTTGTTGCTCCGCTTATGTTCTAAGAAACCATTTCAGATAAGTGTTTGAGCACTGCAGTTTCTTTTTTTCCTTTTCCTGCCCTTTGGCTGCTATGTTATTTCAAGATTATCAAGCCATGTCACCCTAAAACTACCTCGTCAGAATCCAAAACCTACAAATTAGCTGTTGGAAGTGTTTCAGTTCACAGGAGCCCGTTACAGTTCAGTCATTTCTGGGCCTATGTACCGTTGTCAAAACACTGATAATTCTGCCTGTGCGCAGGCACTGTACAGATTAATTTGTTTGATTTAGCTGATGTCAGTCAAACCCACGAAATTATAATGTAGTAAATATTTTCTCTTGTTTCAGGGTTTTTTCCTCACTGTGTCCCCGGAGTCGATCGTCAAGGTGGCAAGACACGCTTCCGATAAGAACAAAATTTTTTGCATGAACCTCTCGGCACCATTCATCAGCCAATTCTTTAAAGAGCCCTTGATGAAGGTTATGCCTTATGTCGACATCTTGTTCGGCAACGAGACGGTAAGTGAAACGAGACGTGCATTCAAGCCTCTTTAGGACAGATATTTCCAGCTTATTATATTTGTTTTTGCAAATTTTACAATTGAAATTGACAAATTCTTATATTTGGCTTTGAGACAAGCTGATTTAGCTGCTTTTCCCTCTTCCTTTCTTTTGATTGGCTGCACTTTGCAAACAAGAGATGTGAACAGCAGGTTTACAAGTGCACAGCTGCTGCTCCTGAATGAGATTTCCATAGTAAGGATGTCCCTCTTCTCTTTGACGTCATACATGGGGAGTATGTAGAGCAGTCTGAAGCCTGAGATTTCGGTTCACAGACGTTACCTGAATAAATGCTGACCTCATAAGGTGGCACTTTAGCCAGGTTTAATATGGTCACCATTGTAACAGTATGTATGACAGCTTGGATTACCTCCAAATCCTTCAATGTGACCTCAAATCAACAGCTAGGTGGCAATCAGATTTTCCAAAAGGACAATGATCCCAAACTGAAATGGATAAAGCAGGCTAACATTAACCATCTGGAATTGGCTTCCACATGCCTTGACCTCAACCCTATTGAAAATTTGTGGACTATGCTTAAAACTTAGGTCCAAACCAAGAAACCAACCAATTTAGAGGAACTTGAGCAGTGAAATATCTAGCCAGAATTAAGCCAGAAGCTTGTTGAGGGTCAGCAAAAGCATCTGGTTGAGGTTCAGTTTGCTAAGGAAGATTCAACCAAATATTAGTAGGGGTATATATTTGAGCCTGTATGTATAATTTTACCTTGTGCAACAATTTCTTGTTTTTTAGTCGATAAAATGTGAAATCATTCCGCTTTATGCATAGTCACGCTAACATTGCGCATTTAGCCTTTTTGTCTCACCACAGCGTGTGTCAGATTTAGTACAGTAGCATTGAATGAACAAAAACTGAAGCATAATACTCTTGATATAGATATTATACATAAACTACCTATGTTCTTAAACACTCAGATATGAAAGTGTGGAGATATCAATCATTTATTTACTTAAGCCTTTTTTTCTGCTTAAACAGTTTAGTGTTATTCAATGAACTATAACACCTGTTTATCGCACTTCTGTGTTTTCTCTCGCTGGGGGTTCGTCCTGTCTGAGTGCTTCATATGTCGCCATGTTTAAAGTAAAATCAAAGGGCTGTGTCCGACCTTTGATTCCACTTATTGCTCTCCTCAGTATCCATTTAACGTCTCACTTCTCGCTCACTATTAAGAGATGAATAAAACCGAGCGCGTTAATCAATCATCTCACTTGCGTCACCATTCCATCCCAGTTGATCTATCGATTTTTCTCCGCTTTGTGGAAGCGAGTAGGTGATTTGAGGTCAAGCTGTGGTCACAGAGTGTGCTGCTGCTGGGAAGTATCCTCTAACAGAGCAGACGAGCTTAACTCTGAGGACAAACTGCACCTTTGGGGGCAGGCGCAAAGCAGAGGGAAGTGGAGTGGATGTTCACTGGGCTGAACTTGCCTCCCCACTGCTAAAGTTACTAAACAGAGCCCTGTCTTCAGGTTAGAGATGGGGTCTGCAGACCGGGACAGAGCTGGAAGAAACTGCTCAGCATTTGAGGATTTATTGCCATTGCTGACTTCAGCTTTTTTCCCCTCTTTTCCATTCCCAACATAAGACCTCCCTTTTACATATGCACCTCTCTCTCTCTCTCTTGCTTCCTAATTGCTGTGAGGAACGATTCTGTCTCCTTAAACCGTGCTGTACATTTTGCAAGCGTTATGTATTTTCTAGTGGGTGGTACTGTAACTGTTTGTTTAAGAAGTTTGCTCACACCTCCAGTCATTACGATTTAATGACTCCGGATAATTGCAATGTATGTTTGTTGAAGTAGATTATCTTTCGGAGACTCTGTCAGGGCTCGCTTTCTGAAATTGAACCTGGCTAAGAACACCAAAATAAGAGTTTCAGTGAAAAGAAACAGAGGGCTGATTAACTGCTCAGCCGCCTCAAGCAGTGAGATCTTCAAGGGTCTGTATAGGACTAATGCCTGTCCAGAGTGTTTTGACTCCTTTTGGCTCCCCCACCCCCTCACCTCTGTATTGGCTGCTGGGAGGGGGGAATGACTGCTCATACAGTCGAGCCCCAGACCTCCCATTGTGCACAAGCCAGACAAGGTTGCCGGTCATGCAGTGGTGCATGGTGAGTGACAGGCAACAGAGCCGCCTCGCCCACGCTTGCCCCTTCCAGCCCCCCCGGCCGTCCTCTCGCCCCAGCTTCCACCCCCCAATGTGATGGATAACCCTCAGCCCGCGATGCTTTCATAACAAGTCAGTGACAGTCAGGATCATGCAGGCTGACTCCTATAGCCTTGCAGAATGTGCCATAAGGGAAGGCTAATGTGTCTGCTTGTCTCTGCCTTCCTCTCCCACACTTACTGAGTCACGATACAGAGCTAGTCTCACTTGGGGAAAAAAATGTTTAAAGCAGCTGTAAGATCTCATGTTTTGAAAATGACATGTAATAAATTTGAGCGAGATCGTTTTTGATTGCCACCTTATTTTTCCACGACTGGGAACTTATTTCAGCCAGATCACAACTCACGTTTAATCATTTTTAAATTCCCAAACAGTTTTGCAACACGGCAGACTTCAAAACATGTCAATAGCCTCTGTTTCTTCTCTTGTTTTGTTTTTTCTCTCCTGCCAGCTTCTGATGTTGAAATGTGTCTGTGTTTGAGTCTACCCTGGGTAATTCTGCTATAACTCGATCCTGCTGGTACTTGTTTTAAACCTGGCATCAGCAGGCCCTGCCTGCTCTATCGGCAGCCTCGTGCTTATATAACAGTCTCCCATCCATCCTGTAATTACTGCCTTTTTGGGGCATAGTGTAGTGTCTGTTCCTTCACTGCTGAGGGGAGGTGGAGGAGGAGGAGGAGGGGGGCAGTGCGGTTTCTGCGTTGGCAGGACCTCGGAGGTGGTGCCGGCAGAGGCGCATAGACATCAGACGCTACTTCTCTTAATTGGCAAACATGTCGTGTGATAACCTGGGAACAGCACCGGCCTAATTGAGTCCTCCTGTGCTGTCCTCCTCTGACTACCTGACATGGAACCCAGGGCATTACATTTCCCTCCATTTAATGGCCGCAGTTAATTAGGCCCGAATGAGGGAATCATTACCGCTGGAAAAACCACATGCCAGTGGATTCGCCGATAAAATTAGCCACAATTTGCTTTTGCTATTTGAGCATGAGAGATAAACCACACAATGGGGGGGGGAGGGAGGACTGGACCATTACTGGTGGATTTGTATTGTGGCATTTTAGGCATATCATAGACAAATGGAACGATTAATCAAGGCTGAATTATTCACCCTGACTGATATTTCTTTTAGCCAGGATTCACAGCTTTCTCAATTTAGATCAGTCCGTGTGCTTCGGCTTCTCTTTCCCCTGTCAGAATGTTTTAAAAATGCGCTTCCTTAATAAAACAGTGCTGCAGATGATGTGCTTAGTTTTTTGCCCCACAGCCAGTACCGAACAACCTCCTCACTTCTCAGCCATTAACATTATATACCACCCCCATACAGGAGCTCTGCATGCTTTCCATTGCTGTCCAATGCATTCTGCACCTCCACACTCAGAGGGAGCTTATTTATATGGGTCCCAGCCCCGTCTTCCAAACGAGAGACAGCCATTGTAATTGAATACTCAATAGGTGAGCCATTTAACAAAAGTGGAAATGGCGTTCGGCTATGTATTAATGTGCTTCGCCGAGGCAAAAGGAGCCATCATCATTTCAATGTTCAAGCTGTTTTAAAAGAGCATTTAGCCTGCCATCTCTCCAGGCCATGAGAGCAAAATGACACGGATTTCTTCCTCCTCTGTACTTTGTGCGAATGTTCCTCGCCTAATATTTTGTATGGTTATCTTGCTTATTTTCCCATCCATCCTTCAGCACCTCTCAGTGATCTATAGGTGGAGGGATACAAGCAACTCCACAGAAGGTTATTGTCATGAAAAGCCCCTCAGGTCTTTTGGCTCTCAGCCCTATTTTTCTCCATCTACATGCATTGTGCGTATTTGTGTGTGCATGGGGTGGAAGGGGGGATCTCTAATGATTTTTCCAGGACAGACTAAAGTAGATGTACAAGTGTGTATGTGTGTATATATATATATATATATATATATATATATATAGTGTGTGTGTGTCTGTCTGTCTGTCAATGTGTGAATGGAAAAAAAGGGTGGCAGAGGAGATACATGGGCAATACGGCGTCATTTCTTAACATCTCTCTAGATTCGTCATCTGGCTTTGTTTGTTTGATAGACTGCTTGGAAGCCTTATCTCTGTGGTGAGACCCGTGGCTGTTTATCACCTCAGTGACGTATGCGGGACTGTGGAAGTACGTGCTCTCTGCTGTCAGTATGTGTAGGTGATGGCAAGTTCACTAAAGGGCCCTTAGGGTATTGATGGGTGTTTTTTTTGCACAAAAAAAGAGGAAAAAGAAAAAAAAAGAATAGGAAAAAGAGTTTCCCCTTGACAGCTCACCCACAGCAGACTCGAGATGTGCTTCTCAACGGTAGCTTGGGGAAAATATGCCGTCTACTGCCTAAAACAAAGAGATGCGAGAGTCAGATTAGCGTGTTACTGAAACAGCTTTCCTTTTAGGCTCTTCTCTCTCTCCTCTCCTGTCAGAGCTGTCTGCAGAGAACGAGGGTGGTGGTGGTGGGGGGAGAACATGAGACATTAACCTCTATGTGTTTATTCACAAGGCCCCACAGGCCAACTGGGAGGATGAACACAGAACCATCTCTAAAGCCGGCGAAGCGGAACAATCACAATGTGTCATTGGAGGAAAAGACATGAAGTATTAGCTGCCGCTCTCCTTTGTGTCTTTCACAACTGAATTTTAATTTAATGTGCTATTTCTGTGATGAGTCACATGCCTTTCGTTCAGCGCCAGAGTACATTGACCCTCAGTGTGACGTACAGTCAGTGAGTTGTATGATGAGTCATAGCCGCATTAGCTGT